TATTTGGTGGTAGAGGATATGAAAGAGAGAGACTTAGGATTTCTTAGGTTTGAGATCTGCATTACTTGGTGAATGGGTGACATGAATCTGTAATGGCAACTTAGGTTGAGGAGTACAAACTATACTTAGGAGCTTCACATGGATGTTCTATAGGTAGAGTGCCATTTGCTGTAAAGATCTACCCAAGCGTTTGCAGGTACTCTTTCCCAGTTCTAACATAACATCAGCTTTTCCTAGTTGAGGATGTTGAAGCCGGTTAACTCCATCCATGTATCTTGTCATGTACATCCCTTAGTACTCAAAAGCAAACTCACTCCTCCCCCAGGCATATCACTTGTCCTTCTCTTCTTTTATCTTGCCATTTTCAGTCTCAGCTGTTTCAACATTTTTACCTTCCTGATCCCTTCTCATCACCACCACCAAGTACCTGACTAGGTCTCTTTCATTATTTAATTCATATACTATGTCCTCCAGGAAACATTTTCTGATTCCAAATCCATTTTACTTTCACATCTGAGTTAGTGGTCTCTCCCATATTCATCAGAGCACACTAAACATGTGCTGTGTGTAAACAGCTGCATCATGATTTTTTTTTTTTTTTTTTTTTTTTAAAGATACTCTTCTGTATTTCTATAGGATGAGAGAAGGGGAAGTATTCCAGGTGAGGAGACAGATACAAATAAAAGTGCAGGGACAGATTTGGAGAGAGGACCAGGGAAAGGAGGAAGATAGTAAGTAAAATATGTGGTATATAAAAAGAGCTTATATTGGAGTGAGTATAATATTAATTAGGAAGAGATATGTCAGTTCTATCTCAGTAAAGCTAGGATCCAAACAAACAAACAAACAAACAAACAAAAACCCCAGAGATTAGAAGAATCTTTTCAGTCCTGACAGAGAAGTTTAAAAGACTAAACTGTGATTGAATATAATATTAATGGGCAGTGGTTCTTAACTCTGGCTATACCCCTAAAAACACCTGGAGAGTTTTTTGTTTTTTTTTTTAATCTCTCTAGTCATGAATTGCCAGCGTTCAGACTGAATGACAATTTCTAGGCGTGGGACCCGACATTAGTGTTCCACAGGTGATGTAAAAGTTAGCAACTACGATAAGAAGTGGAAAGTAGTTGGTCGGAAAAAGGATGAAAATAAGAGTTAAGAAATTGGATTGTTACTTTTATTCTTCATTGTGATTTTTGGCAAGTAACTTAATTCTTGATGTTCTTTATCTGTAACTTAGTTGGATGATCTCTGGAGACTTTTCTATCTCTAAAATCCTTTGATTTTAATGAAGGAAAATACTTAAAAAATGTTACAGAGAAGATTAAGCAGCTGAGTACGGGGCAGATTGGAGTAAGATGTGAGGACAGGTTGGAGGTTAGAAGGTTTAGTTGTTCATCAGTGTGGACAGGACAGTGGGTTCCTAGGATAAACTAGTTGCTTTGGAAATAAATAGAAGGGGGAGTGTGTGCTTTAAGCCCTTTGGCAGCAGTTAGGGACTTTCTCCTTCAGGAGACTTGATTTGAGTATTCAAGGATTTGGTTGCTGTGATTGGATTTTTTCTTATAACTTATATTATTAATATTGTTTTTAGCAAAAGATTGAATAAAGAAGGCATAAGATATTTAAGGGATGTGCTGTTAATCAGTTTGTATGGTGGGAATAATTCATGGAAGCATTTCTTAGATCCTATTCCTTTGGATTTCTGAAAAATGGTCAATTAATTCAGTTCATTCTCTGTTTAGCACCCTGCCAAATTAGAGGTAGGAATCTACTTCGAGTATGTTCATATATTTCTCCTAATACTGTATTATTCTTCATTAGCAGTTTGTCCGGTTGAAGGAAAAATTTGATTCAGAACTATAACCTTTTTAGCTACTTTTTAGCTTTTTTGTTCAACATTTATTCCTCATTTATATTTTTTACCTGTTGTGATTATTTTATGCCGGATTTTTTTATGAGTCTTTTCCCCCTGGTATTCTCTTTTGGCTTGCATGTCTTCTTCTTGGTAAAATATTTTGGAGATGATTTTCTGTGATTGTTTCTAAATATATTACTAAAAGAGTAAAGTTCTGTCTTTGACCTTACCCAATTATAATTGTTAGATTCAAGTAACTCAAATTTAAAGATTTAGTGTATTTTGTTTCCTAAAAATAAATCTTTGTATGTTCCTATCAGTGATACTCTTCATGCTTTAAAAGAATTCGGTTTTTAATTGAATTTGGACTAGCTTTTTAAGGTATTTAAATCTTGATGATCCTGTTTGAAATTGATGTACTCCTTTTTTTCATACCTCCCTAGTTCAACAAAATGCAGTTCAGACTGTTTGAATTTATTATTAGCTGTTTTATGAAATCGAGTGTTGAAGGAAAAATAAAAGTAGACACTAATCTTTGAGTTTATTTCATACTGTCTTCCTCCATTCTCAGCACTATAAATGAGCTCATTTGCCAGTCCCTAATTGATTACATAAATAATCATACATTCTTGTTTTCATCTCCAAAAGTTTTTTGCTACGGATAATCTCTAGTTACTCTGAAGTTCTAGATTTTCATAATACAACATAGAATAATATGTATATGAAGGATTAAAGTAAATCTCAATGAGTTTTGTAAGGCATTGATTATTAGAAAACAGCCAGAGGGTACTAGATTTTTGGGAAGTGTATATTTATTTAAAATGATAAAGTTATGAGAGTGAAAAGGAAAGGGAAAGTAAAATTAGGAGAAAGAAAACTTGAACAGGTATAAACAAGAAAGGGAGAAGGAAAATGGAGGGAAGAGACCAGGAAATGGAGGTTTAGAAAAAAATTTGAAGTAAATATTTTAAAAAAGAAAAAGAAAGCAAGAGAAAACATAAAATAAGCAAGAGGTGTTACAAATTGGTAGACACAAAGGGTGATCACTTAGTGTTCTGTGAGGCTCCCATAAGGCTGCTGTGAAGAACACTAGGAGTTAAGAGATCTAAATTCTAGTCTTGGTTCTTTGTGTCACCTTGGAGAAGGCAGTTAACTCATCTGAGGCTCAGATTCCTCATCTGTAAAATGCGAACATTGGACTAGGTGATCTTTAAGGTCCCTTCTGGCTCTAAAATTGTATATTTCTTGGTGTGGTCAGTAATTGTGTGAAACACATTCCTGTGGTTAATTCGCAGCTGTTGCTGATTTTAGGACAGCATTATTTGGGGAGAAGGATATAAACTCCCCAAGGGTAGGAGCTTTTCTGTCTTGTTCACTGCTGTATCCCCAGCAGCTAGCACAGTGCTTGGCACATAGTAGGCACTCATTAAATGTTTATTGAATGCATATGAAAAGTATCACTTTGGTGGTTCACTGTGGGAGCATCTAGAGGGCAATCAGGAAAACTAGAGTGGCTTAAGAGAAAGACTGATTTCTTCTGAAGAATCTTATATGGCTAATTTTTCATCTCATTTTTCCTTATTGTGTCCCAGATTCAGAGAACTCATTTGCACCTAGTGGTGCATTCACGGTCACGAAACTTGTAGGGACCAGACATACATATGATGAACTAAACCAGCATATAATCTAGGCCAGTTCATTCCCTTCCTGTCATTGAAAGAAAGGTAGAACTAACCTCTCGTCCTAGTGGAACCTGACTGAAAGGAGTACACCTAGTACACAGAACATAGTAGCTACATTGAGTTGGATTTATTGGGTTCATTCAGTTGAGAAGCAAAGGTAGACTATAAGTTGAGTACCATGGCTGGCAGATTCCAGTGGTATTTTTGTGGCCCACTGCTGTCCTTAGGTTAGGTATGACATTGTTATGCCAAAGGTAAATGTTACAAAAGTACTTGAAGTAAACCATTCAGAACATATATATACACACCAGTTTTTGGAGGTCACAGTTTCAAAATACTCAGGTCCTTGAAATTCTTGCTTTTGGAATTAGATCAGAAACGGAAGAAAAAAGTCACTTTAAATCCCTAGCACTAAAGTAACTATGTATTCATTTGCTTTTCATCTTACCACTTTTATTTAACTTCCGGTTAGGAGTAAGTTTTGTTGATTGATAGGCTGTTTCACAACTGACTAGAAACAGAAAGCACTGAAGAGGGTGGGTCAGGAAGTGGAGGCATCCATAGGCAGATATGATAACTGGTGACAGCTGGACATCCTTACTGTGAGGGATGAAAGGGGTAGGAAGGATATCTAAAGATCTAGAATATTAGATATCCATGGCATTTATGAATCATTAAGAAATCAGTAATTTATATTTCATATTAATAAAAGGAAATATATCATACATATTTGAAATATTTATCCCAATTTTTTTTTATGTTTTATATCTGAATGGTGAAACTTAAGTAGTCTGTAAAATATACCTATTGGAACACATCCATTCTTTTGCATCTCTCCCCAGGAGTACTAGATAAATGGAAGGTTGCTATACTTTGAAAACTTAAATGTTTTAAATTCCTGTCTCTTATAGTATCAGGTTGAGATTTTTAGCAGTTGCTGACATTTTATGTTGGGTTTGTAAAAAATTATAATGTTGAGAAATACGTATGTATAAATAGTAGTAGAGATTTCTTAAATGCATTTTAAAAGGATCATATAAAAATCAAAACTACTTCAGCAAAGTGGGGTTAAATGTCTGTGTACCTCAGTTATGATTTTAAAACATAAAAACACAAGATTGCAAATTTCTTAAAGCCATATTTGTACAAAATGTTTTCATTGAAACAAGTCATCTAATTTGTTAAAACCATTGGCAGACATAGTTTATTGTAAAATAGAAATATGAACAGAAGATAGAAATATGAAGGCAATATCCACTCTTAATATTAAATTTCAGATTAGAACATTTTTGTTAAAATCAGAGTCCATTTGGAGTGAATTGAATATATCCATTAAAAATTTGCATACTATATTACATGTTAGGTCATTTAAAAATGTTTTAAATTGCCAACTCCAGAAGATGGATAACAATTTCATTCCTGATGGCAATGAATTTCCTTCTTCTGAATTTTTTTAATAGGTGCACTAGGCCTTCCAATGAGGGGGATGAGCAACAATACCCCTCAGTTAAATCGCAGCTTATCACAAGGCACTCAGTTACCGAGCCACGTCACGCCAACAACAGGGGTACCAACAATGTCACTTCACACGCCTCCATCTCCAAGCAGGTATTTATTGATGGACCAGAATATTTCTCAAAATGTATCTTTGTAGAGTAAGCAAGCATTTTAGTTTTTTAATAAGATAACTAATTATTTCATTTTTCTGGCTCAGTGCCTTTCACTGAGGAAAAGAAAGTTAATACCCTATGCTCATTTTATTTCACTGCAAATTGATAAGGATAGTGTAAGATGTTTTTATCATGCTTCTAGCATACTGGTTGTCAGCGGGGTGGGTATCAAGGGTTAATCACCACCTGGGGAGCTTTTTCAGAAGTCAGCTCTTCCTCAAAAGATGATGTGCAATTTAAAATCATTCCTCAGATAATTATGATTATAGCTCCCTCAACACACATACATTGCTCTAGTGAGTAAAATAAAACAAGATTGATTACAGAGATGATGCATATTAGTTTGAAGAAGATAGAATGACATACATTTGGAATGAACTTATTTTAAGTAAATGCATGAAATACATTTGTATTATTTTATGTCCTAGTCACACCAATAGTTTTCTCATCTTAAATATCACCTTATACTAGTTCTGCTATAATTTACCCGATTTCTTGTTGGTTTGTTTGACTTTTCAAAGAGCTAGAATGACCAGACAAAAGAATTAAATTAATGAAAATTAGTGGTGTAATTTGAAAGTATATTTGAGGTTCTGGGGTTAGGCCAATTGATTATTTACAGAGAATTTTAATGAGTGATTGTAGAGAGCTTATTTAGTATAATGGACTTCTTTTTCAGGGGTATTTTGCCTATGAATCCTAGGAATATGATGAACCACTCCCAGGTTGGTCAGGGCATTGGAATTCCTAGCAGGACAAATAGCATGAGCAGTTCAGGGTTAGGTAGCCCCAACAGAAGCTCGCCAAGCATAATATGTATGCCAAAGCAGCAGCCTTCTCGACAGCCTTTTACTGTGAACAGGTAAGATGTTTATTGATACTGTGTGTCATTGTTTTTCTGGATATTTTCAAATTCGCCTTCTCATACTCAACATTCTGTTCTTGAGTCTTGGCTTCTGTCTCATAAGTTTGTTTCATCATATTTTTATGACCAAAGATTCTCTTTCTGTTACATGTTACAACTTCAGTCTCCCCAAACTTAAAGACACTCCTTTGAAAGTTAGTTTGATTTTGGAAAGCACATTAGAGGTTTTTGTTATTGTTAGAAAAGAATTGTTCTTAAGTTGCCACTAGGCAAATTTTTGTGCTTATGTCCTTTGTCGGTTAAAAGGCTGGCCACTTACGTGTAAGAGTTCCAGACTTATGAACAGTAGTGTGGATATGTTTGACTATTACTGCCTTGCTTTACTTATGCTTTGGTTTAGTACTCTTTCAACTGAAATTCAGTTTTGTGCTTTGGAGACTTAATGACCAAAGACTTTTTAAGACTACATTTACAATATTCGAAAATAGTGTCATGTTCTGGGATTTAAAATAAGATAAGCTGTTGTGTTTTTTCACTCCTTTTTGCACTTCCATTTGCATATGTTTACTGTGCAAGTGATAATGACAATATGAAGACCAGTTGTCCATTTTATTAGGATTTTTAAGCTGTTCGGGTAATTTATATGAGAGTAATGCAGTGTAAGGCTTTGTATCTTGAAAAAATTGTGTTTAATTTTGTCAATTTTTTTCACCCCCTTTTTTTAAATGGGGAACTGTATGAGGAAAAAGGATCTTGATCTATTTGCTATCATCCTACCCATTTAATTCACTTTCTTTCATCTACTGCTTGTAAAATGTGGATTAAAAATAGGTTATTAGCACATTTCCTGTTTGATCTTTATCCCATGAGCTCTAGTTCTTTTATTTAGATTTATGAGTATTTCTCTTAATAATTTACTACTCTTAATTTTAAAAATAACTACTATTTGTAAAGGATCATCAAAATTCTTATCTACTTAATAGCTTCCTAATCATATACTTCTTGGACTTTATCACATCTTTTCTTGTAGTATTGTTCATTGAATGTGTATTTAAATTTTTGCCTTACCATATTTTTTCACATTTTGTTTCTAAAAAACATATTATTTATAAATTGTCAATGAAACATGGGTCTCTATAACCCTGCTTATTACTATTGATAACTTGTATTTGTTATAGAATGTTTTCATCCCTTCAGTGTTTGAAGGTACCTATATCAACAATTCTAACATGCTATTAATTAAACAAGTGTTTCTAATGGCTTTCCTACTCTTCTCCAGAGCATTGTTGTTTCACTAGCTCCATGTTTTGTGAAAATATTGTTTGGCCATAGTTTTACAAAGTTACACACACACAAAAAAACAAAACCAAAAAACCCCATCATTTCCACAAACAGTTTAACCCTATTCGTAACACTGATAACACTGTCTTTTGTCAGATTATTTAATGTTAAAGTTGCATACTTTCATTGTAGAATTTGCATTAATAGCTGTTTTTGACATTCTTAATTACTTCTGGCTTTGCTTTAAGTTCAGACTTGTTTCTGTTCTCTCATGTTTAGCCTTTTGCAGAAAAAGGAGGCATTTGTAACTTATCAAGTACCAGTTGTGCATTAATTTAGAATGGAAGGTTCTATGGAGAGATTTGCTTTTTCTTTTAGGTAGCTGAAAGATAAACTGTATTTAGATTAGAATGACATTTTTTTTAGAACACTAAACTTAGTTAAAGAAAAGCACCATTTAATTCAGGTAAATGAAACATTTATTGAGTGCCTGTTTTATCCTCCTGAACAATGAAGGCAGAGGATGCAGAGATGACCATGACATAGATCCTGTCCATGAGGCATTTAGATTCTAGATGGGCAAAACTCTGTATGAAAGATGATCTTTTATGGAAAGTGATAATGGTAAATGGTATACTTACCAGTAGTGGAAGGAAAACAAGTATTCAGGAAAAATAGTTACGCTCTAAACTGCATGTTTTTAAGGTTAGTTACGTCTGCCAGTGTATCCAGTAAGTTGACTCTCCAAGTACCTAAAATAGTACTATTAATCTCTGTTTTCCTCAAGGCTTATGTGCAAATTCTTTTTTTGTTTGTTTGTTTGTTTGTTTTTAAAATCATCTGTTTAAGACATTTTGGTTCTCAGTTATTCATGGAAGGACTTCAGGAGGGTTTTTAAATAAAGGTTAAACTCAGAAAAAAAAATTAGTATTTGTTTTTAAAAACATACTGTTGTTTTATATGAGGAGATCAAAAGTATACACTTTTGTTTTTCTTCATCTAAAAGTTAGTGTTCTTACTGTATATCTAAAATTATTTTCTATGTACCCAGTATGTCTGGATTTGGAATGAACAGGAATCAGGCATTTGGAATGAATAACTCCTTATCAAGTAACATTTTTAATGGAACAGGTAAGCTTATTCTGGAGGTAGTAACCTATAAAAAATATGGTAGATCTTTGAAATATAAAGCAATTCAACATACTGGTCTTAAAATATTAGAGGATTTTTGTGTTAAACTGGTAGAATTTAATTTAGTGAGGATTTGACAGGAATAGGATTTAATACAGTGAATAGTTGAGAGATATTTAAATATATTTTTTCACTTGATATGGTAATAGCGTAATGTTATAACTTTAGGACTATTTACTTAACACCTAGAGAAAGCCTAAACATTAATTTAGTCTATTGCCTCAGAATATCTTTTGCTTCAAGAGCATTTTCTAGCTTCAGTCCTGTCACTGCAGTCTAAATTAGATTGAGTGGTATGGTATTCTGGCTATAGAGACCTAGACTGAAGAAACCTCTAAAATTATATTGGAGCACTTAACAATTTTTTCTTAATAATTTTAATAATTGGCATTTAACCCTTGGGGGTTTTTTTTATCCAGTTTTATGTGTAAATTTTAATTACATAGAATTCTGATTTTGAATTCCTGTGGTCTGTTGGTTTATTTCTTTTATCAACTGCTTCAGAGAAAGAGAACAAGAGGCTTTATTTCTATTCTGCTTCAGGTTTCACCCTCTTCCACCCTTGCCTCCAGACCCTTTCCTGAGAAAAGATATAAAGGATGTTGTATGGCCATAGGAGCAAAAATAATGAATGTGATCATTCAGAGAGATCTATACATAAAGGAAATGGAAGGGAAAGAATGATCAGTGGAATGTAGCATATGTGGAAGCAGGAGACAGGATTTAGTAATGAAATGTCATTTGTGACTAAGCTTTTAATTTTTAAGTGTTATTATATGTTTAGCAGCATAGATTGATCAAATGAGACTTTAAAATTCCAAATTTTAGCATTTAAAAATTACAGTTTTGTGTTCAAGGTGTTAAAATGCTATGAAGTACCATATTCCTATTGTTTCTGAAATGCACACTTTTTTCATATCATCTCTGAAATCAGGCTATGTATCATAGTTTAATTGACAAGTTATTCTTTTTTTCCTGAATGGATCATAAAGTAACAATGTGTCTGAGAATGCCATCTTATATTCTGAATTATGGTTTCATACACTTCCATAAATTTTTAAATTATTTCTAAAATTCAGTTTTAAGTAAATTTTAACTATTTTTAGAGAAATTGTTTCCAAGTCTTTACCTAAAAATATAACTTGGGGGTTTACTAACTAATTTTAGGTTAAAATTATTCTCCGATAATATGACCATTTTAAATTCCATCTTACAGGACCTGAAGATGTGTGTTAAAAGTTAATATATATTCAGCATTTCTAGTTAATTTATAACTGTGTAACTATAATAATTCAAGTAAGATTACTTTTATAACTTGAAACACTATAAATTTCTGTTGTCTTTTTATGTAGTAGTATCTTTTTAAAAGTTCATAAACTACAATTGATTTAGAAATAGTGGGCATGATTTTATATTTTACTTCTCATATTTTTAAATTGAAACTTAACTTGGAATGTTAATAGAGTGTTTTGTTTTTCTATCAACAAAGTAATCTTGAGATAATTAGTTTCTGAGATTCTTCTAATTATGGAACTTGGAGAAAAGTTAAAAACTGAAAGGCCAAATAAATTGAAAATGCTATAAAACACTAAAACATTAGACAAAGATTAAAGAAAAGCTATAATACAGGCTAGAACTAAGGTAGGAAATTAAATTCTTCAAAAATTAAGAATGTAAGATTGTAAGAATAATAGAATAACAAAAGTTGAGAAGAAATCAAGGAGAAAATTAAAATAGGCAAAATAGAAGGGCCGTCTGGCTGGCTCAGGTGGTAGAGCATGTGACTCAACCTTGGGGTTGTGAGTTTGAGCCCCATATTGGGTGTAGAGATTACTAAAAAAAATAAAATCTTTAAAAAATAAAACAGGCAAAGTAGAAATGTTGGGTTAAATTTTAATTTTTAAATGGAAGTGAGCCAATTTTTTTTCAATTAAAATGAACAGTAATTTTATTCATTTAATATCTATTTATTGAGCGCCTACTATGTAATAAGTAATATAAACTTCTGGACTTTGTATCATATTCCCATGCTTTCCACACACCTGCCAGACATGGGAACCCTGCTTATAACCTGGTCTATACAATCCTACTTATATTTCCCAACTGTAAAACACACATATACATGCAGACACACATTTGTGTATGGGACAGGTAGGTCACAGGACAGAAATCCTTAGAGTTTCTGCTTCCACTGCCTGTGTTTCAGATAAGATTCTGGTCATTTGCAAGAGGCACTGTCATTATCATACCTGTGTATGACTAAAGCTCCAAGCATCCAGATACTACCTCTGTCTCTGGATATAATGAAAAGAGCGATTACATCACAACAGTCTTTTTTTTTTGTTAGCTGATAAGCTATAACTTTAGAAGGCCACCCTTCTCAGGGAAATAATGTCCCACCTTACTCCTTATTGTCTGTCTTAAGTCACTAGGATTTGAGATTTTTTTATGCTAGCTACATACTGCTTTACTGAATTATTCATGAAATTCTTTTGTGTGAGATCAGTTCACCTGATCACCTACACATATCTAGTACAGTGCTGGGTATTATTTAGGAAGAAGATACTGTCATTTCAAATTACATTATGGTTGGTCTTCAATAATCTCTTTAAAATGTTTGTAGAATCTGGGTGCCAGGCTGACTTAGTAGAGCATATGACGCGTGATATCTGGGTCGTGAGTTCAAGCCCCATATTGGGCATAGAGCTTACTTAAAATAAAATGCTTGTAGAATCAGTAACTAATGTTCTTTCTCATTATTTAGATGGAAGTGAAAATGTGACAGGATTGGACCTTTCAGATTTTCCAGCATTAGCAGATCGAAACAGAAGGGAAGGAAGTGGTAACCCAACTCCATTAATAAACCCCTTGGCTGGAAGAGCTCCTTATGGTAATTAAACTTTTTAATGATGGCTAATGGAAACTTTCCATTGCACACACACATGCATTTACACATTTATATGCATGTGCACGTGTGTACACACACACATATCTGTTTTCTAATCAGGGTAGTATAGTTTTGTCAGAGCTGATACATGCACAGTGCATTTTCCTCCCAGAATACCATGATAGAAAAGTTAAATGGGCAAACAGTTTGTATAGAAACCCCAAAAGGAAATCCTAATTGGTACTCAGAGGTTATTTTCTTGTGACATTTCTGTCTTACTACACCTTAGTGATTATTTGTGGTCTGCCTTTTCTTAATTCATCACACGTTTTTTAAGTCACTCATTTAAATCCTGCATTCTTATTGATTAATGATGACCAACCACACATGGAAGATTTTTTCTAAGCCAGTTTCTTAACCTCCACACTACTGACATTTGGGTCAGATAAGTCCTTATAAATAGGGGGCTGTTGTGTGTGATGTAGAATGTTTAGCAATTTCCCTGGCCTCTGCCTACTTGTTGCCAGTAGTAACCCCCTCCCCATCATTGTGATAATCGTAGGTGTCTCCAGACAGTGACAAATGTCCAGTGGGAGAAAATATTGTCTTCTGTTGAAAACCACTGACTCCTGGGTCATGGATCGTTTATGTAGACTCTTGGTCACAATTAAAACCCTTTCTCACTGTCTCTAATAAATAAGAGATTTGGCTAAATGGAAAGAGGGGGGCGTGAAATGTGTGCAGTAACAATTTAGACATGAAAATTATATATAACTGCAGTGCAGCCATATTCTTATTATGCATTGCACATAGTTGTTTCCTTTTGGGAGAATTTGGTAGATAACAGTACTAGCAACAATGAACTTAGAGGGATCAGTTCATAACTTTTCTAAGATAACTGTTTTTCCTATTTTCATCCAAGAAGGATTTCTTTGCCTTTCAGAATATGAATACAAATAACAATATGTGAAGAAGGGAAAAATATATTGTTAATATTCTAAAGTTTCCAAACTAGTCTTCCAAAAATAACCAAAAAATGATCTGCCCTGGAAGTTGAGTACCTAGCTACTTGATTCTCAGTTCAGACTCTAATGTTTTTAACCTTTCCTCATAGGTCCATTTTTTCATCCCTTTAATCATTCCCGTTGCTCTCCTTGGACCAACTCTAGTTTCTCCATATCGTTCTTGAATTGTGGAGCCCCAAACTGGATATTGTTCTCCAATAAGGGCCTGACTAATGCCAAGTATAGTGGGAGGATTACTTCCCAGTTCTTGCATGTTTTACATCTATTACATGGAGTCCAAGAAAATCTGAAATAATGTGGAGTTGTTTTATAATTGATTGCAATTTGCTCACTCTGTAAGTCACTTTCAAGTAGAATACTGACATGTTCTTTTAAAATTTATTTTGTTCATTTGTATTTGACAGTTAACTGGTATTTATAATAGCTAGTCAAATATTTAAATCAAGCTTTAAACCAAAACTTTTGATAACTATTACCAATATCAAATTATGTTTTTAAGCATCTATATATGACCTTAGATTTAGAATTATAGGATTACCACTTAACTTCCCTTGTACTGTTTTGTATATTGAGTTATTAATTGGTATATAAAAGTTTAGTTCTTCATTGTTATCCTGAATACTAATTTTTTGAAGTGTGTTTTCATAGTGTAATTTTAAAAAATCATTTTGGTACAGTATCATGAGGAAAGTTAATTTTTTATAATTTGTAGAAAAATACCATAAATATGAATTGCAATTCTCTGGATTATTTTCATTACATAGTTGGAATGGTAACAAAACCAGCAAATGAGCAATCCCAGGACTTCTCAATACACAACGAAGATTTTCCAGCATTACCTGGTTCCAGCTATAAAGATCCAACATCAAGTAATGATGACAGTAAATCTGTAAGTAACTGAGAATTATGTATGTGAGTGGTGTAGTTTTTTTCCCTTCAGATTTCTCTTGTATTAACAGTTTTATAGACTATATTAAGGACTTACTAAATACTATTACAAAATTGTTTATCTTGAATATCTGTAATAATCTAACTTCTGAAGAATGTGGAAAACCTTTATAACTTAGAAGATAGCCTATTTTTTTCCTATTTCATATAGGTTTGCAAATTTCTGTTGAACTTCTCAGAGTTAATTTAGACTTTTATTGTAGTCCCTGTCAGCTGGATCCCATGAAGTTTGATATTATAGCCTTCTAAGGAGCTGTGTTTTTCTTGAGTAAGTTTTCTCCTTGAAGAATCTTTATACACATTTTTATTCCTGTGTTGATTCAGCCAACTCAGCTTCCTCTTTCTGACTTAACGAATGTGTTTATTTCTTCCACATTTCACTGAAAATAGCTTTTTTGTGTGTGATGGGAGTTTGTATGTATTGTTAAAATAATTGATAAAGAAGATTATTGGGTAAGAATTAAATATGAATTTTTAAAGTTTATATATTCTAACTTATCCTGGAGGTTTTTATGCTGATACTATAGGCAACATACTATAGTATTCTCTTCTAAATTAAAGTACTGAAGAGGGAAACTTGAAGCAAAGTTCTGAGATTTTTTTTTTCTGTGACCGAAGATCTGAGATTAAATAAGAATATTTTCCATATATTTCTTGTCCTTTTAATACTGAAATGTGTAAAATACAGGATTTATTCATAAACCATGGGACGGTTGTGGAAACAAAAAATTTCATGTAGAACTTGAAAAACAGGTAATAATTTACTACCAATTTAAATATAATAAAGAATGAATAGAAAGATAACTAATATGTGAACTTGAAATTTTTACACTTTACAAATTTTAATGTCACATTTAATTTTTTTCATGTTAGAATTTGAATACATCTGGCAAGACAACTTCAAGTACAGATGGACCCAAATTCCCTGGAGATAAAAGTTCAACAACACAAAATAATAACCAGCAGAAAAAAGGGATCCAGGTGTTACCTGATGGTGGGACTCTATAAAATACCTCAAAGATATTATAGAATTCATTTCTTTGCTTTTTCCTTAAAGATAAAATTACTGTGTTGTTCTTGTCCAGGTCGGGTTACTAACATTCCTCAAGGGATGGTGACGGACCAATTTGGAATGATTGGCCTGTTAACATTTATCAGGGCAGCAGAGACGGACCCAGGAATGGTACATCTTGCATTAGGAAGTGACTTAACAACATTAGGCCTCAATCTGAACTCTCCTGAGTAAGTTTTCCTTTTTCTTTTCTTCTACATTTGTATGTAATACCTATTTGCAGGTTTCTAGGTTTTAATTTCATGTGATCAGATTGTATCACTTGTAGCCACTCATTGTTGCTGTTATGTCTTGACTCTTTGGGTCATTCCCTCTCATGTTAGCTTCTGGATTACTGTCACTTGATGATATCATTCCTCTTTGGCAGTTTCAGAATACACATATATGATCATTCCAAAATCCTGAAATCTTGGCTCATTGAGTTTCGCACCTTCAAAAATCTTAACTCTCTGCCATATCTCAGCTACTTACATATTTAGTCATCCCTTTGACTTTGCCATTATCAGTAACTTCAGTTTCTCTATAATTTTATCTGTGCTCCCATGCCACTTCCTGTTTTCCATCTTTCTCCCTCTGGTTCTGGCTCCTATAATCATTTGACTCCTTGGGATCTTCAATCCATTGATTACTCTTATCTTTTCACTGTTCCACAACACACTTCTCTTCCCCCGAGAAGGACTCACTTCCTTCTTACCCAGTTAAATTCTGTGGTCACTCATAATTGTTTATATATACTCTTGGCTACTTTGCCCCTCTCTTGCTTTTTGTCATGATTGTGTGGCAGAAACTACAACCCTGGTTATACTCTGGCTTCCATTCTTGACCTTTGCTACTGAGCCTGGCTAAAGAAAACCACACAGCTTCAGTGCCTGGTCTCATTTCTCATTCATGGCAGGAACTTCAAAAGTAGGCGCTTAATTCTGCCATTCATACCTGGCGTGCCTGGTCCATTCATTCTTTTGTTCTCCTATGCAACTGTTTCACATTTGTCTCTTCAGACATCTGATTATCTTTTTCCTTGTCCTTACTCTCAGATAAAGACCTTGCTTCCCCCACCCTGCCCCAAGTTTTTATTTAAATTCCCGTTAGTTAACAAACAGCGTAATACTAGTTTCAGATGTAGAATTAAGACCTTGTTTTTTATTTCTACTTTACTAAGAAAGATGGAAATAATCAGAAGAAAATGTCAGCAGTCCTACCACCAAATCTGTTTACTGTCTGTATCCCAAGACCTTATTCTTATTTTCCACCCTGTTGATATAGTTGATCCATGCTTTCTACTTAAAATGTCTCTTGAAAACTCAAAGACGTGGCTCTAACAATTTTTTGTGCTTTCGTTGGATCATTTCCATCAGCATACAAATACTCTATTACTTTCTTTATGTTAATAAAATGCCTTCTTTTTATCTAACTTCTATGAGTTAACTGCCCTTATTTCTTGGAGAGCAAAACTCTTCAAAAAGCCATCTTTGCATCTCCCATTTGTGTTCTCCCATTCTCAGTTAAACCCATTTCATTTAGAATTTTCCCTCACCACTTCACTAAAACTACTGTCATGGAGGTCATCAAATGGATGTGTATGTTATTAAATTCAGTGGTTGCTTGTAGGAATTTATCCTCCTTGACCTGTCACCGTTTGACATAGTAGACTCATTGCTGTATGTTTCTCACTGCTTTTAACTGCTGCCACCCTGGTTTGAATTGCCCTCCTCTCTTGCCTGGATTACTCCATTAGCCAGTCATAGGTATCCCTGATTCTCTCTGTGTCCCTCACAGTCTCTTCTTTATTTAGGAGCCAGGACCATCCTTTTTGAATAGGTTAATCTTCTGCGCACTGCTCAGTGAGGGTTTGTGGTTTCATTATGAATAAAAACTTAAAATCTTGGGATGCCTGGGTGGCTCAGTCTCTTAAGCATCTGTCTTCGGCTCAGGTTATGATTCCTGGGATTGAGTCCCTCATTGGGCTTCCTGCTCAGCCCATTGGGAGCCTGCTTCTCCCTCTCCCTGCTGCTCCCCTTGTTCATGCTTGTGCTTTCTCTCTGACAAATAAATAAATAAATCTTAAAAAACAAAAACAAAAAACCAAAATCTTTATAGGGCTATTTATCTTTATAGGCATCTTCTCCTTCCCCCACCTTAATAGCTTGGTCCCTTTGTTCACTCTGTTCCCAGCTTTCGTGGCCTTCTTGCTGTACCTCAGACATGTCAGTCATATCCCCACCTTAGTTATTCTAGCAGTTCCCTCGGACTAGAATAGTCTTCTGCCAGATAATTAATAGGGCTAACTCCCTCATGTCTTTAAAGTCTTGTTCAAATCTGATCTTCTAAATGAGACCTAACCTCACTGCTTTATTTAATGCAACTAATCTCCCATCCCTACCGCTCCACAAACATGGAATATTATTTATTATGCAAATTATTTTTGTCTGCCTCCCTCTCATCTATCATCCTCAATCAGAAAATAAGTTTCATGTTGTCAGTTACCTTTCTTTTGTTCACTAATGTATCCAAATCACCTAGAACAGTGCCAGGCATACAGCAGACACTCAGTAAATATTCGGTGAATTTGATCTTTAGCTTTTAATAGTTACTGATTTTTTCTGGGAAAGTAATTTTACTTGGGGGCATGCTGTTAATCAGTTTAAAGCATTCTGAGTTGAAGTTACGTGTAAATGTGAATGAATGAATATATATATATATATATATATATATACATATATATATAACTTAATATATACACTTTGTGTATATATATGTATACACACACACACACACACACACACACACACACACACACCCCTAGTTAACTTGTTTCATTTTTCTGTGTAAGTCATAGTAAACACATGAAAAGAAATTAGAAGTAAAGAGCTCATCTCACTTTTGAAGTCACTGTTTTTCTGAAATAAAAACTGAAATCTTTTTCTGCTTCGGACTTCAGAGTGTGTTTGTTTTTTTTCCCCTCTTATTCAGAAATCTCTACCCCAAATTTGCATCACCCTGGGCATCTTCACCTTGTCGACCTCAAGACATAGGTAGGAGAATCCATTTGCGTTCAGACCTTTTAAAAATATTTTTTTAACTGAGAATCAGTTAATAAGGCTTTTTTCATTTTATTATCCAGACTTCCATGTTCCATCTGAGTACTTAACGAACATTCACATTAGGGATAAGGTGAGTGTAGTTTATTATTCTCCTCAGTCAGCATGAATGTATCCATTTGTCAGGTACTGTTATTCAGTTCAGACGGCATAAAATTTTTTGAAATAATTAGCAGTGGTTTCAGGGGTATGCTTTCATGTGTGTCCATTCAATTACGTAAAACAATTTTATTTCTATTTTTGTTTATCTTATTGTTTTGATGAGATCCTGGGTTACATTTAAAGAGTATGTTTTAAAAACAGTGGTAGGACTGGTAAAATATTTCTTGGAGCTATTATTAATAACGGTATAACCGTGGTTGATGAGAATAAACGGTCTTAGAAAATTTGATTAATTTCCTTCTGATATTCTCATTTTACGCTCTTATCAATAAAATATACTTTTTACAAATGTTATATAGTGGTTTCAATGGAACAGTATATAAATATATACTTTAAAACTATGACATTTGACTTTTTAAAACGTCTTAATTACCTAAAATTCTAGTTCTAAAGTAACTATTAACAGATTACAGTTTTAATCTTTTTCTTACTCTTAGAAGAAGAAAATGGTAAATATTTTGTTTAGGAGAAAGAACTAAGTGTTCATTTCTGTTAGAAGTTGTGTCCCTAGGTTTTGGCCTTGAGGAAGAACATAATTTATTAAAAATTACATGTTATACATATGTGTCTAATTTATTATATATTTAAGTATAAGTCTAAAATATTTCATAAATATATAAAATACATATTAAAATGACAGTGTTCTGTGTCTGTGCCTTCAAGTTGCATGGTCAAATGGATGTTGATTTTTTGGACAGGCAAGTTAAAGAGATACTTCTCAATATGTCTTTTGATACTTGAGTAAATGGAATACAAGAAGTATGATATAGAACTAATTTTTTCGGGGTGCCTGGGTGGCTCAGTGGGTTAAAGCCTCTGCCTTCGGCTCAGGTCATGATCTCAGAGTCCTGGGATCGAGCCCCACATCGGGCTCTCTTCTCAGCAGGGAGCCTGCTTCCTCCTCTCTCTCTGCCTGACTCTCTGCCTACTTGTAATCTCTGTCTGTCAAATAAATAAAATCTTAAAAAAAAAAAAAAAAACTAATTTTTTCTGTTTGTGGACTATGTGATTTTTCTGCCACCTCCACCATAGATAAGGCTTTTTTGCTCCAAACACCTAAGGGTTCCAGAACCTTTTCTTAGGGCAATTTAAGAAATACTGATTTAGGAGAATTTGTCACCTTCAGAAGTGCTGCTTGAATGGGGATGATATGAATGGAGACAAAAATTACATTCCACGATTGTGAAACAGCTAAATAAACATTTAGATACAGAATTAGGTGAAGAGATTAAAGTGTTCATTTTGGTTAGCTTTTTTTTTTTTTTTTTTAAAGATTCTATCCATTCACCTGACAGAGATCACAAGTAGATAGAGAGGCAGGCAGAGGCAGAGGAAGAAGCAGGCTCCCCATTGAGTGAGAGCCCAATGTGGGGCTCAATCCCAGGAGCCTGGGACCATGACCTGAGCTGAAGTCAGAGGCTTTAACCCACTGAGCCACCCAGGCTTCCCTTGGTTAGCTTTTAAATAAAGGTTTATCCTAATACAAGATTTTGATACTGTTAAACTTGATGTTTTCTATTTTGATTGGCGGTTAATGGTTCTGCTTTGTGGAAGGACGTAAGGCAGTCATCTTTTAGTCATCCATTTAAACAAAATAAAGAGAATCCCTTTGTGATTTTTGTGTTTACCATCTGTGATTTGCTAAAAATGCATAACCTACTGATCCGTAAATTGCTGTCCAGTGTAGATTCAGCTAACATTTCATACAAGTTTTCTCTGTGATAGGCATTCTTTAAGGTACATTCATATATAGAAACTTTATCCATTTCATTTACATTCTTAATAACCTTGTAGGTCTCATTTCTGCATTTTGTATGGAAGTTCATAGCATTAAATAACTTGGATATGATTATATTTGTAAATAATGGAACTGGGTCTTGAATATAAGTCCTACATTTCTGAGCACTGTTTCCACTATTATTACCATGTTGGGTATTAATAAGCCCTCTAGTAAAACTGCATTTGGTCTTGGTTAGAAGTTTTTATATAGCTTTTTATCCTATTAGTATATAAAGTAGATGTACCAGAAATAATTGTTAAATTACTTTAGTTAAATGGTAAAACTCTCCCTTAAAATTGTAACTACCTGAAAAATCATGTAATAATGGTTATCTGCTATAAAGAAAAGAGTTTCTGTTTTTTTATTTTTACTTCAGTGGTAGCAATGTGTTGGGATTTTCAAACTTATTTTACACTTCAGAATAATTGATTTCTCTTTTCCAGCTGGCTGCAATAAAACTTGGCCGATACGGAGAAGACCTGCTCTTCTATCTCTATTACATGAATGGAGGAGACGTATTACAACTTTTAGCTGCAGTAGAGCTGTATGTTCAAAGTATTTTTAAACACTTTTGTATTATAGTGGATCTTGTTTATTCTGAAAGCTTTTCTTTTAAATGATAGTTACGGTTTCTGTCTTTTGTTCTTAAAGTGAAAATATTTCCATCAAGAAATAATTTGTTTTTACATTTAATAAAATTAATTTAGATTGAAAGTTTGTTATCATGGTTAATGGTCACTGTATAAAGAATTATTTCAGATTTAAATAATCCTAAATTTGTAAGAAGACAGAATCGATTCATGAATTTGGTGAATCTAATTTTTATGAATATTTTTTATAAATATGTGAAGTATAAGATATGGTTCATAACTGTGGCTCATCTTTTTGTGGAAACACATATATTAATGTTAGTGAATTTCATCATTAGTGAACATCTATTGAGTATTATATGGGCAAAGCACTGCATACATCTTGTGTGTTTTGAAGTATTGATGAAGTCCACATTGATTATCAGAAGCCTGTTGGCCAACTTAAATAAATTAGTGTTAAGAAGTAGGTCCATGGAATGTTTTTTCTTGAGCATTTCTGTTTTTACCTGATGCTCTAAGAATAAAAATTTTTGTATCCTTTCTCATATATAATTGGTAGTATATTTTGTTACCAATAGATTATTCTATTAATCATGTTTACTAGAATAAATTGTTATTAAAATTTTATAATATTGTGGGACTCCCGGCTGGCTCAGTTGGTAGAGCATGTGACTCTTTTGGGGTTGTGAGTTTAAGTCCTATGTTGGGCCTAGAGCTTACAAAAAGAAAATTATGATATAGAAACCTAATTTTTACAGATGTATTTTATAATACTCCTAATAATCTTTCTATAAATGGCCTTGGATCAGATACTTAAAAATGTAAAATTCACTATGTTGATAATAAATTGCTTTTTATTTCTCTATTGAGAATTTGTTTTCTCCCATGTTTTCCCCTCATTTTTTGTAACATAGCAACTGTTACCTGTTCTTTTTAATTTATTCATAAGTAAATAAATTCATTTAGTCATTCATCTATCCATTACTGGCAGTTCTGTCTCATATCTTATGTCTAAAAATTATCTCACTTATTAGTAGGAAGGTATTTGTTTACATGGAGGTTTGTTCTACCAGAGATGTTTTTTCTGGTACTTTTACCTCCTTTGGATGTTACTTCCCCAGTTTACAAGTGATATTAAATCCTTACTGATTCTTGCATGAATTCTAATGGATATCATTTTGGCTTTTGAAAATTTAAGGTCAGTGAGATTTGAATAAAAAAAGTAATACATTCATTAAGAATTTTTAAAATGGATATTCTATTTTCAACATAGTTTTAAAATTATGTGAATTTAAATAGATAAACATACTATATTTTGTTCCTTATAAAATAATACAAATAGCTGGGGGTTTTGTTTGTTTTAATAGATATCTCAATTTCTATTGAATGTTAAGAAGAACGAAAAAGGAGTGAAGTTTCTGGAACACGATGTATATTTATTTGGTCTGCCTAAGTTTTTAACACACTGCTCATAGAGCTTTTAAGAACTCATTAATGTTTGCATAAAAAAGTCTCTTCAGTTAAATAAAGATGTGTATATTAATTAATGAGTGTGGTTTCTGGACAAATTAAGGAATTCTTTTCCTATATTTATTTCACTAAGGTTATATTTAATAACAAAGGGTAAAGAAGCATCCATATTTATGTATTTTCTGTATAATTATTTTCTGAGAAAAATTTTTACAAAATGTAGAAAATGTTTGATGTGAGCCACAGGAAAAAATTAATTGTCTTTTTCTCTTAAAAATTGAAGTTTTAACCGTGATTGGAGATACCACAAAGAAGAACGAGTATGGATTACCAGGGCACCAGGCATGGAGCCAACAATGAAAACCAATACATATGAGAGGGGAACATATTACTTCTTTGACTGTCTTAACTGGAGGAAAGTAGCTAAGGTATATTTTTTTCCATGTGCAAATGTGTAAATGTATAAATCTAGATTTTAAGAAGAAGTATCCTCTTTTATCTGTTTATATGTACCAATACATCCATTCCAATAATGTGCCAGATACTTGCTAAATAAGTTTTTTTGTCTTCACCTCCTTGGCTTGATTTAAATTCTGGGAGAGTATCCGGAAACATCTCATTTCACCCATAGTTAGGAAAATGATTGAACTTGGTAAGAAATTTTGTAATTTTTCACAAGCCTTGGTAACATTTGAAATATTTTTATGTCTACTCAGTTGTAAAATAAAGATCACCCTCTTGCAATCCCAGTCATGTATTCTTATTACTTTAAGCAAGTAGAAGATTTTCCTAAAACTGGTATATAAACAGATAATAGGCTTTTTAAAACACTTGCACTCATTGCAGAAAAGATGCTTGAGTTTTTGTTTGCGAATGATACAAAGAAAGAAAATTGTAAGCATTAACCATGATTGTTCCTATGACTAGTATGCTGAATATTGGACGGAAGAGGGCTGTGGAAAAAGTTGGTTGTACGTTTTGTTTTGCAACTTTTCCTCACAAAAACACCTATTTAACTGTCCCATGTGCAAAATTTTCATTAGTGTCATAGCGTATTTCACATTTGTATGTAGTATCTTATGTATAAATTTAGTCTACCTAGTAGAGAGTATAACCAACATCTGATTTCATAACTCCCCAAATTTCTTGTTTCCCTTGAGGATTCTTAGGATTAAAAAACTAAAGAGTTTGTTTGTTCTCAAAAAATTTAAACAGAAGAAAAATATTTCTTGACAGTCCATTGGATGATTCTTTAGTTGTTGGTTTGGGCTTGTTTAATCTTTTGAGTCAGCTTTACCAAATTAATAAGAAGGTAAAACATTTTAACAAGATAACGTAAAATGCTTACCAGATCTTTATCACAAAAATGTTTTCCATCACAAGAAAATTTAATACAAAACTTGAAGAAGGAAATAGGAAAAGTTGTGCCCAAGTAAAAAACACCAGACAAGACACATACAAGAGGTTAAATCTTTTTTTTTTTATTATTACTTTTGGGTGTTTGTCAATGGTAAATGTCATTACTTCTCAGACCAAGTCCATAGACCACCATACTGTATTTGAGTTATTTTATAACCGTTATAATTAATATGCATATCTTAATTTCAGAAGGCAGATCCATGATCTGACCTTTTAAGTAGAAATAATTACATTCATTTCAAATAGTACAAGAGACATTGTGTATGTTACCTATTAAGAAGTATAGTGTGGTAGAAAGTGATAGCCCTTACATCATAGATTTGAATTTAACTGCTGTTTCAGCGATTTATGCTTTGCCCTTGTGCAAGTTTCTTTTCCATGCCTGCTTCCTTATCTTTTAAATCGAAATCATATTTGCTTCTAGATTGTCATGAGGATTAAATGAGATTTTACACACACACACACACACACACACACACACACACTGAGTACGATGTTTCTCATATATTGGGTATTTGATACATGGGAGTAGTTGTAGTTTGTTGCTGTTTCCGCATTCTTACAGCTTACTACTACTCTTCTTCAAAGATGGAAAAACTATAACTGTTGTTAGGTCAGGTCAGTGGTTCTCAAACTTAACTTGCACCAGAATTACCTGGAAGCCTTATTAAAAACATAAGTTGCTGAGCCATACCTCCATTTTTCTGATTTAGGAAGTCTATGCATGGGGACTGAAGGTTTGCATTTCTGACAGTTTCCTAAGTGATGCCAATGATTTTTCTGGTCTTTGAGCCATACTTCAAGAACAGTTGATTGTACAGGAGAGAAAAATGATCTTTGGAGGGGGAAAAGAGTCTTTAAGTAAATAAATGAAGTTTTCTCCATTCGATTGGAAGCTTTTTGCTCAATATCATTTTGTTATTCCAAACTTCTCTATGCAAAAAGGATGGATGTTTGTAGTAGATTGATGTATCGTTTTAGTTAAGTTCAGTATAAATGACAGATTTTCTTATGTGAAAAAAGTCAGTTTCCAGTACTATTTTCTTTCCACAAAGTTAAATATTCAGAAGCAACTTAAACATTAATAGGCCCCTTTACTTTCCCATAAAAAGCAATTCCCCACTCACACACACGTCATTTTAAAGAAAAGTGTGTGTGTATGTGTGTGTGTGTATGTGTGTAGAAATATGTAGTGTGCATATATAAAGTAATTTTATCCAAATTTATCTGATCTCCTGTACAGTTGAGCTTTGTCTTAACCTTTACCTTTATAATTTTTAGCTCTGAAGTTGGAAAATAAAATTTGAGAAATATCATTAAACTGTTTCTTTAAGAAATATCTTTTGAGGTAATTGCTGGCCACTGGCACTGACACTTTTCATCAAAATTATTTTCACAGTGATGAAAGCAAGCAGAATTACTGGTGTCTACTAAGAATTACACATGGCTCACTTTTGTTATATTAAAATAGATTCATGAACTTAAAACTTTTAAGTTGTATCCTCAGAATAAACTTTTCACAATGGCTTCTGGTTTTTGTTTGTTTTAAAGATGTTCTCAGTGTATTCTTAAATTGTTTAGGAATTAAGACCTTTAGTTCCATTTAAAATGTATTAACAGTTGATCAAACTACAGAAAAGCCCGAAAAATGCCATGTCCCAAGTTAACCTCAATGTCCCCACCTATAAAGTGGGTGTGGTTTCTTACTCACAGGTAAAGAGCATGCATTATTAAATAACTTCAACTCATTGTAAGAAGCCTGCAGTCTGAATTAGTATTACAAGTAATAGCTTGATGTTATCATGTTATCTTCGGAAAGTATTGACCTGATCTAGACTATTGTCAGATCTCCATCTCACAATGTCTTGTATGAGGTTCTTTCTTTTTTGCAAATTACTTAATATTTTCAGAGATTTGAAGAATCGTTATTAAGAAATTTGATGATTTAAATCAGAAGTATTTTTTAGCCCTGAAAATTCTGTAACTGAGTTCTAGGATCCAGCCCATTAAAGTATTTTTTGTATGTCAATAATGTATACATAAAAATTTTGAACTGTGTTTTTTTCTCCCCTTTTAAATAATCTGGACTTGTCAGCAGGCTATGTGATCTAGCCTTTGTAATTTTAACTAGAATTACTCAGTATCTCACTAATTTAAAAATAGTGGTCATTCAGATTGTGTGTGTGTGTGTGTGTGTGTGTGTGTGTGTGTGTGTATTTTATTTATTTATTTATTTTTACTTATTTCACAGAGAGAGAGTGTGTGAGAGAGGGAACACAACAAGCAGAAGGGAGTGGGAGAGGGAGAAGCAGGCCTCCTGCTGATCGGAGAGCCTGATGTGGGGCTCCGTCCCAGGACCCCAGAATCATGACCCAAGCCTAAAGCAGACAGATATCCAATGTCTGTGCCACCCAGGCACCCCCAGATTGTATATATTCTTACTGAGTAGAATTTTAAAAATAATTTCATCCATAGAATTTTCAGGTGATGGAGGAATGCCATATGATCAATAGCTTTCTCAAACTAAATACTTAAAAATTGAATTCTTTTAGCTTGACTTCACCTTGTAGATCCAACACTGACTAGGATTTCTAATGCTTAGAATTTTTTATAATAACAGAGGCTGATATAAATGTGATTTTTTTCATTAATTTCACTGGTACACATAACTATTAGCATATCTATACTTAAATCAGTAATATGTACTTTTCGTCAAAGTAGCAAAAAATTATTTCTAATAAGTATATGTAAGATAGTTTGAAACTTCCTAAAATTGGAGGATTTATCTTAGGTAAGACAAAGCTGACATTTTTTGAGAATTAGAGAAAATATTCCTGCAGTATATGTTTCTCTGTGTCATTTGATCAGTGATTACATTAATGCTTTTGTAGTAATTTCATTTGATTATCTGAATCCAGTACATGTATTTTAGTTCTGCTTACAGTGACCTTTTGAGAATATGTAGCCTAGTTTGATTAACAGAAAAATAACTTTAAAAGTTGTTTATAAAAAGTGTCTAAAATACCTTATAACCTTTTAAATCATTAAATTTTAATGTTTTGTTCTTAAATGAAAGACACTGGTGTTTATTAATTCATCAGCCATTAATTACATACCTGCTAGGGGCATGGCACTATATTATAGGCAGAATGTAGTGGCATACAAACACAGGCCTATTTTTGTCCCTACTGGTTATATAAAGAGGTGTGCATGTGTGTTGTGTGTGTACATAAAACAGATGTGTAAAAGAGATGTTACCAACAGTCAAAGGGAACAGAGATACCAGTATATACTGTAAATTTATGTATTTTAAGAAAAATAAAAATAAACAGAAGACTAAAACAAAGATAAAAGAAGAAGGAAGACAGAATTTTAATTTCTGAATCTCTGATGTATGAGTTTTTTAATTACATTAAAAAATGTATTATGTTCCTTAGGTTTAAAACTGTTCTTTTTCTTTTAATATGTAGGGAGAAAAATATGTGCACTGATGAAGTTACTCTAGTTTAATTTCTAATAATCTGTGTAGTTCACCTTTGTACAATGACAAGGACAGGATAACTGAACAAAATTTGATTTATGTAATTTATTGGGGCCTGTGATTTGTTACAGTTACAGATTTTTCACCCTGCAGCTACACATCTTTTGGAACTAACTTGGCAGTTTTAATTTCTAAAGAGTGATAGAACAAGATTCTTTCTTTACTCATATTGATATTCTTCTTAAGCCAGGCAATAAATTGCTCTTAAAACTTAGGGGTAGGGAGAAAGAGAGTGGTGTCTACACAATGCATTGGGGGTTGGGAGGGAACGATGGTGATTCTGGAGTTTGCTAGTTTTAATGATAAGCAAATAACCTATGTGCCCTTTGTAGATTAAAGACATTACACTGTCCCTTCTTTAAGAACATTTGTCAGTGAACTGAATTTTTTCAACATTTCTGCATAAGGTGTGTAATGAAGTAAATTTATTTAGATCTTGTGCTAAAACTATTAAAAATAACTTGTTAACACTATGTGGTTATGGGCTTTGGTGCTATATAGGTCTGAATCCTAATCCTAGATCTGCCACTTACTGTATGATTTGGGCAGGTTACTTGGGAACCTCATTTCTTCAGGTGCACAATGAAGATAATGATACTTACAGAAATATACAATCAGAAAGATTAAAATTTGCTGTTTCTCTAGTTTGGGCACATACTAGGTTTTCAGTTGTTAATGTAATATTCTTAAATTTAAATACTTGGTTTTATATCTCAAAGTTCAATCATTATGACATAGGTTTTCATTTTAATTTAATAATGGGAACATCCATTTTTAGGATCAATTTGAAACAAGATAGGTATGGTAAGATATGTTAACCCATAGTGCTAACTACTTGTTGGCTTTCTTTAATACATAGTATAAATTAAGGTTCATAATGTTTTAAATGGAATTGATTTAGTTTGTGCTGTTACTGAATTCATATTGTAGAATTAGTGATTTTAGAACCTCTTGCTTTTTGGATTTGCAAAGGTACGTTTTTTTGTTTTTTTAATATACAAAATTATCTTCTTTGTCTTGATCATAAGAAGTATAAAGAGATTACTTCATTCTCAAACTTTAAAACTCTCATGAAGTTAATGTATTTTGAAAGTTCAATTAAAATGAGCTAAATAGTTTATGTTCAGATGTGCATACAACAAAACCACTATTTAGTTTTGAGTGGCATTTACGTCTTTTCAGTGTTTGGGTTTGAAGTGGGAAGTCTAGAGATATGTGAATTGTAAGGTTAGAATAACTTTATGTGTTTGCTTTTTTATAAAAGTAGGTGTAATAATTACAAGTTGGAAAATTTTTTTTTTTTTGAGGAAAAAGTAAATGTTTTTATTTTTTTACATCATTGAAGTTTGCCTTTATTTTAAATATCCTGCAATGTTCAGTGCTTTTTACTGACGATACAGTAATTGCTGCTCAGACTTCTACTTTTGAGCAAAAAAATGCATGGTTTCAGTGGTTATAAAATAGATGTTCATGAGTAGTCTCTGACTTCTACACAGAAAGTCACTTAGCAGAAACTGCACTTAGCAGAAATGGCAGCACATTACTTTTCTTCAAGCTGTATTTTAGAGGGGTAAAAAAGAGTTGGTACATCTGTGTCTGTTCATTCTCATACATGTAGGTATTTTGTTTACCTAGTAAAATATATTTTGACAAAAATCTGAGATCAGAGGGAGAGGAAATCATCTAAATTCTTAAATTTGGTTTTATAGGAGTTTCATCTGGAATATGACAAATTAGAAGAACGGCCTCACCTGCCATCCACCTTCAACTACAACCCTGCTCAGCAAGCCTTCTAAAAAAAGACTTCCCTTTTCTTGGGGTATGGCTGTCTCAGCACAATACTCAACATAACTGCAGAACTGATGTGGCTCAGGCACCCTGGTTTTAATTCCTTGAGGATCTGGCAATTGGCTTATGCAAAGGGTCACCATTTGAGGTCCTGCCTTACTAATTATGTGCTGCCCAACAACTAAATTTGTAATTTGTTTTTCTCTAGTTTGAGCAGGGTCTGAATTTTTTTTTTTTTTCATTTATTTTCTTTTTTTGCCAGCAGACAGACTTGAGTCTGTAAAGACAAGCAAGTACACTGACAGAAGTTTACCATTTAGTTTCTAAAATGTAAAAAAAGAAAACCCACAAAAGACTCAACAAAATTAGACCACAAAATTTGCATTGTTCATTGTAGCACTATTGGTAATAAAATAACAAATGTTTGTGCATTTTTATGTGAAGATCCTTCTCGTATTTCATTTGGAAAGATGAGCAAGGTCTGCTTCCTTCATTTTACTTCCCCTTCTGTTTTTGAAAGGCAGTTTCGCCAAGCTTAACGCAAGAATATCTGACTGTTTAGAAGAAAGATATTGCCACAATCTCTGGATGGTTTCCAGGGTTGTGTTATTACTGAGCTTCATCTTTCCAGAATGAGCAAAACACTGTCCAGTCTTTGTTACGATTTTGTAATAAATGTGTACATTTTTTTTAAATTTTTGGACATCACATGAATAAAGGTATGTATGTACGAATGTGTATATATTATATATATGACATCTATTTTGGAAAATGTTTGCCCTGCTGTACCTCATTTTTAGGAGGTGTGCATGGATGCAATATATGAAAATGGGACATTCTGGAACTGCTGGTCAGGGGACTTTGTCGCCCTGTGCACTAAAGGGCCAGATTTTCAGCAGCCAAGGACATCCATACCCAAGTGAATGTGATGGGACTTAAAGAAGTGAACTGAGACAATTCACTCTGGCTGTTTGAACAGCAGCGTTTCATAGGAAGAGAAAAAAAGATCAATCTTGTATTTTCTGACCACATAAAGGCTTCTTCTCTTTGTAATAAAGTAGAAAAGCTCTCCTCACTGCAGTGTTGACTTTGATTTGAAATTGTGAAATTATTTCTTCAACATGAAAAGTAGACCCTCCAAACCCTCAAGTTTTACAAATATCTAACTGAATGGTGTGACTAAACAATTTAAAATGTAGTCTTTTTTTCAGCTTTTGACAAGTAATTTGATGGAACCATACATCATTTTACTTGTAGGTTAAAAATGCAGATGCATTTTTCGTTATTAACCAAGTCAAAACAAACTATTTTTTTTTTGATAATTATGGCTGCATTAGAAATAAAACTTCCTGAACACTTACGGGACCCAATCAAAATACTTTCGTGAGAAATCGGTGAGACATTTCTTGATAGACCTTTGAGATTTAGCTTTAAGAATTAATACACAAATTAAGGTAAGCCAAAAGCAGGGATAAGAGACTTTACCGTATTCAGTGTGCTGGCCTGGATATTTCACATTTACAAGTTGATGGATTCGTTTCCATCTAAAGGCAAATACTGTATTTAAAAATGTCTGAAGACTGAAGCTACAAACACTAGAGATAGAGAGTAAAAAAGGCAGTGAGTTTTGATTTTCTAAATTTTCATTTTTAACCTATTTTTCTATGAAGAGTGAAAGTTTGTTGACATTTACCAAATCATGTTTGAAAATGAAACATTTATGACATTGCTGTGTTTGTGTATCAGGAATATGAAATAAATTAAGATTTACCTTTTTCTATGTATTTTGAGATATGGAGAAACTGACATAAAAATATCAGGATTTTTTAACCTTTCAGATTTAAACCAAAGCATCTCCTCTGTAGGAAAGATGGCACTTATGTAATTATAGTTTTAATTGTTGTGCACAAACCCCTCTCACATATTTGACATAAACCAGAATCAAATCCTAGAAACTGTTTCCTTTAAAAAAAAGAAGCATTACATTTTTTCACAATAATTGACTTTGTAAAGCGTAACTTTTCCAATGTAATCATGAGAAACACTTAGAAAAGGGAAGGGATCTTTATTTTTATGAGTACAAACCTAACAGTATAAAGTGTCACCATGATCATGATTGGTACTTTTTGTGAATGACTCAGAAAAGCAAGATAGCTCATATCAAAGTCGTTTGTTGTTTGATTCTAATTGTTTGTTTTAACGGCCATTAGAAAGTTTTAAGTGCACACTTTTCCAGTTTCTAAGTTCTTTTTACCCTGAATCATCAAAATGAGAAAACTCTTGCATGTAAACCAATTTTTTATAACTTGTTAATATCCGAAATCACCATGCTCTTGACTTCAAATCCAAGTTTAAAAAAGTCTATTTGAAATCTTTAAAGTACTATATTAAACTCTTTAATATAACACACTGTTAATATTCTTTGGTTTTATAACTTGTGGTTATACATGTACAGAAGCTGACCTGAACTAATATTTCACATTTTCTTTCTTAGCTTTAATTCTGTTAAATTTTCCCTATATAACTAGTGACATAGATGTGTACGTTGTTAACTTTGTGATTATACTATAATTGGCTCTAGGGGTAAAAAGCTATTCAGTTGCAAAAGAAAGTCCTTTCACCTATTCAGTTTCAAATATATATTCTATGCTTCTTGTGGTGATACTATAATTTATATGATAAAACTCCATTTTCAGGGATTTTTTTCACTGCACAAAGTTTTCCTTAGATATAAAAAATTTTTAAGAACTGAAAAGTTTATTTGAATTCTTACAGTATAATATAAAGCCAACCAATTAACTGGTCTTTTCCTTTTTGCCACTGAACTTGGTACACCGTAGGTGCTTGATAAATACATGTTGATTGAATGGTATAAATTGATATTTCAATTTGAAAATAAAATGTACAAATTAAAGCATTGGGCTTTGAAATAATTTACAATTTTTTGCTGTAATTTCATTTTCAAAATTCTTTTTTAAGGCATTTTCAATTATCTTTTGAAACTTTCAAATTTTTCCAACTCTACCCTTTCTAGTTGATTCTTCCTCTGAATTCTTCTTCAAAAACAGATCTTCCATTCTGTTAACACCCAGTGCTTATAAAATATGGGTCATCTGAGCATCCCTGCAAAGAAGGGCACATTTATTTAACTTAGATTTGCTTAGTAGCATCAGTTTCGCAGAAAGTTACTAAAAATCTAAATGTGCAAGTGCATAAGAGGGATGTTCATATTTAATGTTCTCTTAATCATAGCTTGTGTAGTTAAAGGAGACCTAGGAATACCTATTAATTGGTTCCAAGAGACAGTCTGTGGATAATAAGCCAGACTTATCTCAATGCCTTTTTAAAAGCTAGGTCCTAACAGCATGCCAGAAAGCTCTTTCCTTGCCACTAGCATTGCCAGTGAAGTAGATCATATCATAAATACGTGTTAGATCTAGGAGAGGAGGCAAATAAACACAGTGCACGTCAAAATCAGGATCTAAAGCTAACCCAGTAGTTTGTGTGTTGAGTCGCATCAAATAGGATACGCTGAGTCAAGATGATTACTTTCCCACTTCAGTTGCTAAAAGAATAAAGGATAGTGGAATGTGACCTGTCTGAAAAGCGGTTCATATGTAGATCAATGTAAACTATAACTATTTCCAAAAATACTGATGGTGATTTTTCAGCTACATTAAAAGTATAGTGCTCAGAACAAGGTAGGAAGTCTGCTGTATTTTAAGAGCTGCTACGACTGGGGAAGGCATTAGGAGAAAAGGATGTGGCCTGCCTTCTAGCTGCCAAGCAATATACTAAGTGTTTTACATGCATTATTTTATCCTGTCTTTAGCATAGCATCATTAAGGTAGGTTTTTAATATCCCCGTTTTACGTTACATTTTAAATATACCAAAAACAACAACAACCAAACAACCCAACAGGTAGTAGGAAAGTTTAGAGTTAGAGAATAAACTCTAGAAACATGGTATCTTTCTTCAGGTATCAAATTCAAGAGTTGTCATTCATTTGCGGGTCTGAAGAACAGAACTAGGACCAAAGAGAGAAAAAGATTTCAGTGTACTATTAAAACTGAGTTAAGATTTTGAAATGAGTTGTTTTGTAAGGCATTCCATTCAACCTCAGAACATAACTAAGGAGAGACCGACTGGGCAGGGTTTTGTGCATAAGGTAAGGAGTTGAACTGGATGACCTTGAATGTTTCTGTTCATTGGAAAAGTGTTAAAATAGGGTAGTTACTGTATTTTAGCAAACCTAGTTGCGAACTTAGGTACGACTTCACTGTACCGCTAAGGAAGAAAAGAGCTCGACTGAACTATGACAAACCATGAATTACAGAAATGCATACCAATTTCCAAGATGTCCTGCATGGAAAGAATGTGCATATTAGAGTTGATGAGATGTAGACCTTGGAGAAGAGAATGGACTACTAAAGGGAGATATGACAGCTGTCTTCAAATAATAGGAAGGACTTAAATGAAGAGGGCAAGTCTCAAACCAGCGGGCGGAAGTTGGATGAGACACATTTTGGTTATTTTTATCAAGGTGCAGTCCCACAGTACTGTTTCATAAAGAAGGATTCCATCAACAAAAATGTTCAAGCAGAAACTGGATGATTATCAATTGCTATTGAGAGGACTGCCTTTTTGAGTAAAGAGTTGGATTTACTAACTCTTGGGCCTCTTTTCAGCTCTGAGATGTTGATAACTGGTTTTTTTTTGGTTTGTTTTTTTTTTTTTTTTTTGGTCTGAAGTTGAGGAATATGATGTCCTCAGGGCTGAAAGTTAAATGCTCAGTACTTAAATACTTATAAAGCATTGACCCTTCTAAAATGTGCTCTTCCTGAGCCATGGGTGTGTTTACTTGTAATTACTGCCACATCTTTGGAAAGATTCAAATAATCAAAAAAAGAGTTAAAAAACGCAACTTTATTCAACCTTTTTTGTTGTTACTTTAGGAGTGAGAATATGAAAGTGTAGTAAAGTACAACAAATAGTCGTGTGTATATTCACCAGATTTATTTATGTATTCTAGTGGTACATTAAAAGGAGGGAAGAGACTGTTTTTGATTAAGTTTCAAGGTAAATGTTTAACCTGAAATTATGCATTGCCTTAGTGTTTAGTCTCCTGTTTTCTGCTGCAGTAGTGATCACACTTATTAGATTAAGCAGTAATCTGATTTCTTATGTAAAAAGAAAACTGATCTTTAAATTTGATGTATAAAAATCTCAGTTTGGGTTGAGATAGCTGCGGGAGCTCAGAGAGTCAAAGTTAACTCTCTAGTTAGGTAATTCTCAAACTTAATGTGCGTAAGAATCACCTGAGGAGCATGTTAAAAGTTCCTGTTTAAAGCCTCATATTTAGATATTCTGACTCAAATGTCTAGGGAGAGGCCAGGAATACAGTACTCTAGTAAATGCAGGTCATTTATGAAGTTAGTTAAGTACAGTTTACACTTAAACTATACCTACTGTGCAAGTACTAACTAGAATAAAATCTTAAAGTTTGGGTGAAATCCAACTAAGTTAATACTGGAATAATGCATTCCTATTTATCGCAGGCATTCATTTGCTTTTTCTTGTATTATCCAATGTTCTAGTGCAGAAACCACATTATTACAGTAGTACTTATTAGAGCAGAATACAAGGAAGGCTAAATTCATTCCTCATTATAAAAAAAGCAAGGATGCTTTTTTTTTCCTTTTAAATCTTTGTTATTTCCTGGGACATTATGCCAGACCTTAAGTTTCTGCTTCAGTTTGTGTGCATGAGAACTGCTAAGGGCAGTTATATGCATTAGCCATTCTGTGTCCATCAACTGAAAGTTTTTTCTTTAGTACGGTCATCCGTACTACGGTTATCCGTTGTATAAATACTATGACCTGACAAAAATTTAATGATCTATTTCTTTATTGTAAGAATTCAGTATTCAGTTTAAAAAGCTAATTATTTCCAGATGTTTGCAGTACAGTTTTTCCTCAGTCACTTAAATGACTTCTTGAAAATGCCGTAAAATTCACAGTAAGTTGTCTTTGTTGTAATAATTTCCTTTCTCTGTTGAAAACACAAATTGCAAG